CTGGTTGAAGTCGTGTGTTTATGGCTGCTGCTTAGGAATTTATTTAGAGAAGAAGGTCTCAAAGACGGTCCATGGCTGATCCTAACGGCCTCAAGCATTGAAGAAGGTGAAGAACGGGAAGGTCGTTTTATTTTTGTGTATTGCGGCTGTTCCAGATCTGTATTTGTTATAGCTTAGGTCCGTTTTTTTGTTCTTTTCTTCAATCTTTCAGAGAAGTTTCAGGGGTCGGGTTTCTTTGGAGTTCAGCGGGCTGATCCCTAGATGAGGAAGATGAGGAAGCTATCACGTTCATGGAGGGTCTGTTTGTGTCTCTGCGTCAGGAAGAAGACAGTGGGGAAGGGGTCCCTTTTTTGCATTGTTGCGGCTCAAATTTTCCGTCTCCCTTTTTGTGTATTGCGCCTGATTGTATATTTTTTAGTCTAGGGTGTGTTTGTGGTGTAGATAGTATTATATAGGGTAGGGGATTAAGGTTAGGGGGTATGGGCCTAGGAACTAGTGGCTTAGGGTCTTTTGGCCAAAGACTAAAAACGGACTATAAGATTTATAAAAACGGGATAAACCAACCTAAAATCTAATTCTTTCTTCTAAAATTAGTACACAATTATAAATATAAAAATATAAGACTAATTTAATTAATTGAACTAAACTATAAAAACATAAAACTTATTTTTTTTGTGTGTTTTCAAGATTATATAAAATAAAAGATAAGGTACTATTTTGTAATTTTTTTTTTAGATTAAGAATGACTAAAATATTAATATTTATTTCTTGTTAATAAAAAAAGTAATAATAGTAAAAATTAGTTAAAACATGGCGATATTGGGCTAAACTCAAATATTTACAATGCTAATAAATGGGTAAAGATTCGGGAAGCGGTCAAAAATCCCATTTCAACAATATCAAACACCGGCAACATCATTCAAGCATTAAACAATAACACACATTAATTCCCACACTAGGGTTGAGCCACAACCCTAGCTAATGGGTTTAGCTAGCCATAATAGCAACAGAAATTGAAGAAGTAGTAGTATAAAATCAAGCATATTAATTAACTAAAACATGTTAATCTACAAGATCCCACGATAAACAAAGATGAAAATGCCCAAAATAGGCTAAAACTTGAGTCTCACGAGTGCTGCTTGCTATCTGATATCTAAAACTTGACCTAGAAATAATAAAATATTCTATTTATACTATGCCAGAAAAACTGGACAAAAATACCCCTGCGGGGCTACGCGGACCGCGCTGAAATGCAGCGCGGTCCGCCGTAGGGTCTTGGCTTCGATCATTCCACTTCTGAAGCTGGGACGTGGACGCACAAAGGGGTGGAGTAGCGCGGACCGCAGTAGGCTAATTGGGCGCGACCGCGACAACAATGAACGGCGACCCGTGGACACCCAGCGCTGAACCGCGGTAGAAAAAGGCGTTGGCCGCCGCATGGAAACCCCTAAAGGATGCTCTCTGAATCTCTCCGCGTCGCCGCGCAGCCCAAATTCAATGCGGTCCCACTGTCCTTTTGTCCCTACTTCAATGATTTTTTAACACTTTAGTAGGTTTCACTCCATTTCAGACTGATTTTTTGACTTTCGTATCTTGTCGCTCAAATACCTGCATAATTCAAGCGCACTTTGTAAGCGATTCTGGGTCTAATATTTATGGACATTCCAACATTAAAGCATAGTGACATGTATGGGCATAAAATGATGTTAAAATCACACGCTTATCAATGAGACCGCGAGAGAGCAAGATTTTTTTTTGGATTTTTGTCGTTGAATCGAGACATGGGCCCGGGTCGGTTTGGCCAATTTCGACGATTCTTGATTTAATTTTGAATTATTTTCGGGTGGCTTTGTTCCTTAGCGTATATTGAAATATGTAATCGAATCTGATCTTTGGACTAGATTCAGGTGAGTGACGGCCGATCGAGAGGCAAGGCGATGCGGAGTAGGATTTCGTCCGATTTGAGGGTAAAGTAATATGATAAATGTTATCTGAAGGGTGATGAAATTCCGGTTTTCATCCATCGTTGTGCTACTTTGAAGGTACACACACACCTAGGAATGCACGTGGCGTGGTTCGTTGCACCGTTGGGGATTGTGACTTGTGAGTCCGTCCCGTCTACACTATTGAGTCGCGTATATATCTGAAAACTAAATTGGATCTATTGTGTTTGAAAGTATTATCATGTTTTGAGCTTGATGCATTAATTTGGGCCTCTGCCCAACTGTTTGGACCCTTAGGGCCTTTTTCCTATATTTCTCAACCGTTTTGACTTTAATATTTGCTTAACTCATCATTTGTGTTTTACTGTTTTCATAACTCAGCTTATTTATCTCAGATTTTGAATCTTATAAAATGGACTACCTTTTGGGTTATTGAACACGCTCCTGTCTTACTTTTACTGGTAGCCCTCGCAAGTTAAGCTTGTAGGTATGAGGCTGAGAGAGGCCGAGGCGAGCTTCGATTTGTGAAGGTGACTGACTGAAGAGAGGCCGAGGGCTGGTTGTGAGGATTATAAATCTATGGATCGGGCTGCACGCCGCAAAGCGACTATATATATATATATATATATAATATATACATATATATATATATATATATATATATATATATATATGTATGTATGTATGTATGTATATGTATATATATATATATGTATGTATGTATGTATATGTATATGTATATGTATATGGATCGGGCTGCACGCCGCAGCGATATAGCGCTTGGGCTGTAGGAGCCCCTCCGGAGTCTGCACACCCCCAGTGAGCGCAGTCGACTATATATATGGATCGGGCTGCATGCCGCAGCGATATATGGATCTGGCTGCACGCCGCAACGGTTATTATATGGTACCTATTGGGCGTGAGTGCTGAGTGTGAGCGCTGATTGATGAGAGTAGAGTCAGGAGTGACTGAGAGGCTTGCCCGAGGGGCTATATATACATGTATACGAGTGATGCTTTGCCCAAGGAGCTTGTTTTTATGGAATTCTTGTTTTCACTCCTCTTTATACTGAACCTCTATTGAAAATGTTAAACAAATATTTTGAACAACTTTCATTGAAACTGGAATTTTTACGAGATGCTTGGAATTAAATTCCTGATTTGGTTTGTTATTTCCAATGAGAGTTTCATGTTATATGATGTATTTGAATGACCGAGGGGTTTGCCAGAAGGGCTATTTATGAATTATTTTACCCGAGGGGCCGATTACGATTTTCAACACTTTAACTATAAACTACATTGAACCTTTATTGAAACTGCTAGAAAGTTATTTTTCAAAGGATTTTACTGAAATTGGAGCTTAACGAGATGATTTGATTTGTATCCTGTTTTGGAAACATACTGTACCCGCTGTGGTGCTATTATGTGGATTACGTGATTTCTTACTGCTCAGTCTTTATTTACTTTTATTACTTACTGAGTTAGCGTACTCACATTACTCCTTGCACCTTGTGTGCAGATTCAGGTATTTCTGAGCTTTCAGCAGCTTCTGTGTACTTCCGGAGTTAGCAAGGTAGCTGCACGGCGTTCGCAGCCCTGCCCTTCTCCTTCCCATCCTAATACTTTATATTTCAGACTTAGTTTGTATTAAGCAGACAGTGTTGAGCTGTACTTAGTGGCTCATGACTAGTGACACCAGATTCGGGCTGTGTAGATTGTATTTTCGTACTTGTTTCCGCTTATTTCTCTTGATATTTTGAAATGAAAGAATTGAGACTTAATCTGTTTAGAGAAAGAGTAAATTTTAAAAAAGATCTTCCATGTGGTTTGTGTTCTTTCGGCTGGCCTAGTACTGTGATAGGCGCCATCACGACGGGGTATTTGGGCACGTGACATATGTAGAGAGGGCTACCAGCATCAATTACCGTCTGAGTTGTCGCCGTCGTGGTCGTTTCGTCAGTCTGCTCTGTGATTGCCATAGAAATTTTGTGAAAACAGTTGAACTAATCCTTGCGTGGTTGAGATTTCTTCTATTTGTCAACAAATCGTCACTGCATGTGTCCGATTTAGGTTTTCCCCAAATTCTGACTGATGAAGGGAAAGAAACCCTAGATCGCTTAGTGACTAGAGAACAACAGAACGAGAGAGGGCGTGGTCGTCAATAGAACCTCTGCTCTGATACCATGTCGAGATTTTAGAAAAGAACCGAGCTCCAGACCTCCTTCAATGGAGGATTCTGAAGCTTCTAGAAGAAGCTCGTGGAGAGAGAAAGAGAGATGCTGAAGAATCCGATAAAATGTAAAAATGAATCTCAAAATGAATGTACTGTGTACTGTTCAGTATATATACATGTGATATTTTTACTAACTAACGTATCAACACTAACTAATACTAACTAATGCTGACTCAGCACTAATACTAACTAATGTAACTAATTGTATAATTGACTTAGTACAATTATACAATTACATGTATAGTCATAAGTGCTGATAATTTTTTTCTATTAAAATGATTAACATGCCCAGTATATTTTATATTTACGAAGAATATCTTATCTTTTCCTACACTCACACCTCTACCATATATAATACTCCTAACACATTACAATAAACAAATGTTTTAACTAATTTTTTATCTTATATTTTACCTCTCTATAGTAGCTTATTAGTTCAGTTTAACAACGATATCAAATTATTATTACACTATACTTTTTATAAACTTAAGTCTTCTATAATAACCTATTTATATATTTATTGCTTCATAATAATCAAAATCAATCTAATTAAGGAGGAACTAACAGTGGAATATTCGAGTCCTTGAATTATGCCCAGGAATTTAAAACGTAAAAAATTCTTATAAAACTTGGAACAAGAGAAATTAATACTGTACTATTGGTTTATTTTATTTTTACTTGATTAATAAAATGTGAATGTCTTTTGTGATTTTAAATTTATACTATTTTCATTTTTTATGACATAAAAATTTGACTAATGACTCTTCCAATACTTTTTGTCTACAATAATAAAAATAAAGTAACAAAACAAGTTCAAAACAAATAGGTTGATCCCCGTTTCCAGAAAAAACGCTTTGCACTGGTCCAACACTCCCTCCACTTCTCGCCATTTTTCAGAATAAAAGAATTATGGGTTCGGGCGGAGCTTAAAGAACAGAACTCGCACGGCCAACAGCCGCAGCAGCAGTACAATTGATGCCGGTAAGTTGGAAAATTCTTTGAATTTAAACGTGCTTCCATTGATGTTATCGGAAATAAAAATTGAGTTAATTGAATTTATTAGGGTTGTGCTTTTTAGGTTTGTATTAATCGGGCAATGTGAAATTATGTTGTTATTTGATCTAAATGGACTGCTGCTAGTTTTCTCTTTGTAGTTGACAACCTTATTTCCTGTATTTACAATTTGTCAATTGAGAAGAGCTCACAATTTGGGTGATTGAGCCATGTAATGAAGATGAACACTAAATTGTCCCAACAGAAAAATCAGAATGTACTATCTAAATAATTTAGGAAAAAGAAATTAGCGGACCTCAGTTGTGACACTGCAGCCTCTTTCTAAAGCAGGCAAAGTTCCTTGAATAGTATGCTTAGCTAAAATTTCCTTCGCAATATGCATTTACTTGGTATAATTAGTAGTGTTGGACTGCCATTTGAAGAATGGAGTGTGCATAGATGATAGGAACAAAAGGGAGAGCGAGTAAAATAGGTTCCACATAATATGAAGCATTGTATTGTGTCAAACTACCTATGCCTGTTTGATCTGATCTTTTTGACAAGAATGTAATAGAAGATGTCGTAGAAAACTTCCACTTGGACGCCAGCCAGTAATATTGATCTAGTTCAGCTGTGGATCTAGAATTTTGAGTTTGAAATGCAGGTCCTGTAATATATATCTAACCTTATTTATACTCTATTTTCACACATATATCAATCTTTGACTGGAAGCCGAGGTTCTACTGAAACCTGAGAGTTGATCTGCTACTTACCTAATTAGCTCACAACTAGTGAGCTAGTCATACGGCTTGCTAAGCACAAAGTGTAACTTACTTGCTTAGCAGATGACTGATGAGTGCCATTTTAGTCTTTAAAAGGCCCTGAGTTAAGATGTCTGGCATATTCAAGCATAGCTAAATCAAGATGCGATAAGACTGGGAAAACTATTTCACAAAGTGCTTTTGATTGCTCAAGACATCTCTTTTAACTTGACTCGAGGAACAAAATACTCGTAAATTGTTCCAGCTTCACTCAATTGAGGCAATCAAATAGGTACCATGCATGAGGAGGATGAAATAAAGATATGCTATTGAAGAATAGTGGACATTATACAAAGAATGGCTCAAAACAGAAGCCTGAATATCTTTGAAAGCTGTTTCTCAATCAAGACAGTCCATCAAATGTTGTGCTTCTGCATCTAACCCCACTTTTCCCCCCGTACAAACTGAAATTTACAAAGAAAAGGAAAACACATACTAACCATCAGCTACATCATTTGACACCCACAGTTCCTTGACTAGAAGTTCATGTGTGAAAAAGAAAAAAGCAATCCTACCCTGGAATAAGTGCTTGTAGCCAGAATCAAATTGAAAAATCCTCTGAGCATGGTTTTTAATCTCATAACCAACACCCCACCACTCCTGTAAATTGTAATATAACTACTCCTGGAGCATCCTCTTTTCCAATTACATAAGCATCAAATGTCTGCATTATATGATCACCCAAATGATTAAAAACAATTTTCTTTACTTCATATCTGATTGGAAAAGAAAAAGAGATACATACAGTGTCTTCTCTCTGAATCTAGACTTTCTTGAATGGAGAAGTAGAGTCACCCATAGTCCTAGCTTGAAGGCCAGAAACCGACAAACATGGAGGAGATAGTGTTTTAGTATGTGCAGGCTTTAAGGTGACAAGGTTTCCACTATCTTGAGAATTTTGTATTTTCTTGGCGTGATCCTTATTAGTAGTCGTAGTTACACTGAAACGACGCCGTTCTTTGTTCTTTTTCATAAATAGTTTATTTCCTCTTGGGACAAGTGACACTTTTGTTTTTATAATGACTAAAGATGACTCTCGAATTTATACTTATCAATTGTAGGTCTATTTCAGTGGGTTTCTAACGCAACCCGACTGGACACAACTTGGGAGTCCATAGCAGGCACTTCCAATTTGAATGCAAAAATGTCAAAATCTCCATCTGTTATCACTCCCATCAAATTGATAACATTGTCCTTCTTGGTATTTCTATTCTTCATACTTCAAATTTCTTCTCCAGTATCCGCTATCAGGAAGGATGTAAGTCTTCAAGATAGATATACCTGTAGAACTACAGTTCAAGGAAGATTTTTGATTGCTGATGATATGGGTCAAGTCTGTGATGTGCTGTCCATTGATCCACATTCTCGCTGCTGCCGTGGAAAAAGAGAGCAATTTGCTTGTCACGGTTGCAATCTTGTTTCACAGTGTTGCAACTCCTATGAATTTTGTGTTTCTTGCTGTCTGAATCCATCTAGGACACAAAAGGACCTGGCTTTAAATGTCAAGATAGCTAAGCCTGTAACAGCAGGGACCTATTCAAGCCTTTTTGATTTTTGCATGGGAAGATGCCGTCACAATTCAGAGAGTGTGGTTCATGAAAACGCTTATCTCAGTGAATTTCATCATTGTTTCTCTATACCATCTAATTCTTCTGGTTCTTCTGGTGCACAAGCTGAAGCAAGACTGGCTGGTATAAATATTGTGATAGGAAGACAAGGCGAATCATGCAATTCAGTGTGCAAATCAAGTGGTCAATCTTGTGTTCCCAACAAATTCTTATTGCTCAACCAGTGCGAGACGATGCAAAAGTACTTGGGCTGCAAAGGTGGATGTCTGGCAAGTGTCGGATCAGATCAGCCTGCTGAAGTAGTTGATGATGCCCCCAGAGATCTGAACCCCGGAGCCTGCTTGTACACCTCGCAACAGTCGATGCTATCTTGTGATGGATCGCATCAGCATACGAAGAGGCTCTGCCCCTGCGCATAGTGTGGTGAATTTCCCCTGCTCTCTCTACCCCCCCCCCCCCTCCTCAAACACCCCCGCACCCCTTCTTCCCTGTTACTAGTTATCAGTTTCTCTCATTTAGACTAATGCGGGCCTTTTTTCTTTATAATTTTAAAATTTCTTAATATAATATTTGAGGCATACATTAGAATTTTGGATTCAAATTGGATACTAATTCAAATTTACGTTGTAATCCACTAAAGTTTTTTCATTAAAAGTAAGATCTTTATAATTATTTCAATATGTACTTGGTTTGAGTAACAATAGCGTCGGTGTTGGTTTGCAGGGAGGACGAGGCAGCCAGGGAATTCCACACAATTCAACAATATATTGGGGTTTTGTGACCGGTACATTTGCTTGATATTTAGAGATAAATCATTCACTAGAGGTAAGCAAGAATGGCTCTTTTACAATGAGCACATAGTTATGAATGTGATATACTCGATGTGACTATCTAAATCATTATTTTCTTATTCTTTTTTCATTACGTCGGATATTAGGAAAGGATGGAAATATCTGACTAGCATGCAATGAGTTGGAATTGCTTAAATAGTTAAGACTGAAATCATAAAACTATCTCATGATATAGCTTTAACCTATTATAAGAAAATAAGCTATTTTATCAGGTTACAAATACATTTGTAGCAAGACCCCACTGAGTAGGTAGGTATAGCTGATGTAAATCCCCTCCATAATAAAGATATTCTTGTGCTATTTTTTTGCCTTCATTTTTAGCGTATTGAGGCTTGTTCTGCATTCCAATTCTAATTTATTTTTTCATGGTTATTGTTTATCCGTGCTTCTAGGGGTGTACATAGGTCGGGTTGGTTCGGATTTTGCAATTATCAAACCAAACCAATTGTGTCGCGTTATTAAAACTAAAGACCAAATCAAACCAATAAAACTCGGGTTTTTCAATCTCGGTTTTTCTCGGGTTTTCGGATTATTCGGGTTTTTTCGGATTTTTTCCGGTAAAATCTTCGTAGCACAAAACATACAACTTGTTCTCAAAATATTTCTTTAATCCTAGTAAGATACAACTATATCAGGTATTTTCCAAGAAAATAATACACAATTTGAGATGTGTCATGGCATTATCCTAAAATATTCGACAATAAAGACCATAAATTATGTAATATAAATATATATTGCTAATTAGAAAGCCATAATAAAAATAAACATAATCTAAAAGCACTAAGTCATGCTAAAATAAGTAGACTAATAAGGGAGTATTAATTACATGACTAAACGCTAAAGAAAAATATAAATAGGTTATGCACTTTTATCTTAATTATTGCAAAACAAAAAATAGATATTCAATACATTGTCGTTCGTAGTATTGAATTGAATGTCTTTTGTTAGCATTAATATTGATTTGATTTTGGTTTTGACTTTTGTTAGCATTATTTAAATTACTAATATTAATGTCTATAAAACTTATTGGAACATTCAAAAGTTCTAAATCCAACCTTGAAATAATACCTTAGAAGATAAAATTATGAAAAAGTTTAAGAAATATTTATAAATTGCATCACAATAAGTATATTTATATATTAAATATATCTAAAATTTCTATATATGTAATGTAGGGTTGGTTTGGTTTCGGTTTGACTTTCTTTAGTTAAACCCAAACCAAACCAAACCAATTATGGTCGGGTTTTTTTTTCCAACACCAAACCAAATCAAACCAAACCATAGTCGGGTTTTTTTTTTCTCGATTTGACTCGAATTATCGGGTTGGTGCGATTTGTCAGTTTCCTTTGTACACCCCTATGTGTTTCAATATAAGTTGACATCTCCAAAATTTTTACTCTAAATCTTAAATCAAAGAATAGTAACTATTCTATGAATTTGGACTGAAATTTTGGTAACTATTCCATTGGATGGAAAATATGAATAGATGGCTTGGATCAATTGGTTAACCTTTAATTGGATTGAGAGTGCGAAGAATTTGATTTGCTATTAATTTTAATATGAAGTGGCATATTTAAATTTCTTCCCTCTTCTTCTCTTTACTCAGATTGAAATGATATTATGTTGCTAGGATTGATTGATTGGTAGTTATAATATTTTTGTGATGGTGATGCGCCATATCATATGTGAAAATAGGTGTTTAAGGTGGTTTATATTACTGTATATCATCATGTATACTTGTGTGTATATCATATTATTGCGATATACATGTCGAATGTATGATATACAATAAATATGCAAGATATACATTTTGATATACACTAGTAGAAAATATGTCTGGCAGAAAGTCTGTGCGTGATATAGAGTGATATACACGATATACATAGCACCATCAATATGAGCTTGGCCCGTTGGGCCAGCCCAGCCTAGCTCGTGATTTAGTAGGATTGGGCTAGAATTTTTGGAGCCCATTTAAAAACGAAGCTTTTAACCCCGGCCAAAATAAGCTTGTGGCTGCTGAGGCTTGCTTGAGGCTGGGTTGGACCGGCCTGTGGGCCTAATAAAAATATGTATTTAAAAAATATAAATATAAAATGTACATGACACTAAAAGTAACAAAAAGAGTATCCCAAGCTTATAGTTTATTAAGATCAACGTCTTAAAAGGTTAATTAGTTTTTAAATTGTTCTTAATATTTAACTAATTAATATTGCATATGAATTGTAAATGTAGATGAAAGTGAAGATGTTAAGACAACCTTCTCACAAACGGATTCAAATGTGTTTGATGAAGATGATGTGTTGGATATCCTATAAACGTCTTGGATGTTCTCTTGAATAGTTTGTTTTGAACTTTAACTTTTAGTAAATGAAATATAGTCTTGTCTTTTATTTTTTTAGTGTTTATCACTTTATTGTGATATATTGGAACAATATAAAAAGTTAAGTTTAAGTTTTGTAAAATTTTTCCAATATTTCTTTTTAACTTTTAAATATTTATCATTTTTCAGGTTAGACCTTAAAGAAAAAATATAAAATTACTTTAAAAAAATAATGGGCCGGCTCGTGGGGGCCCATAGCCCACATAGGGATGAAGTGAGTTGATTATTATAAGTAGGGGTGTTCATGGTTCGACTTGGATCAATTTTTTCCTAAAAAGAAACCAAACCAAGTAAGTCGGTTTTTTAAATATTAGAACCAAATCAAACCAATTAAGTCAGTTTTTTCTCGATTCGGTTTATGTCGGGTATTTGTCATTTTTTTTTTTGGTTTTTTCGGTTATTTGTCGATTTTTTCTTAAATATAAGACATACACTACCAAACATATATTCCGGCGACCACATTTTTAACGTAACACTATCAAATTAATTACCCTTTGAGAAATCTATTATTTACTAAAATATATTGATGATAATTGAATCAAATAGTGATGAATAATTTAAGGACACAATTAAAAATATTTTTTTTTTACATGAAATGGATTTTTACACTTAACAAAATAAAACTACCAATCAAACTAGAATATAGAGATAAAGAACTGTACTAAAAGTTCAAACGACTAACATTCACCATAATATTTTTGAAACTTTGTATAAAAATATACGTATATATAGGTGTAATAATAAATTTGAAATAACTACTCCTATAGTCGGTTTGGTTTAGTTTTTTTCGGTTATTTTTTTTATTAAAACGAAAATTAAACCAAATTTGATCGGTTTTAAAAATTCAAAACCAAAACCAAACTAAAACAAAAAGAATCATTTTTTTTGGTCGGTTTGGTTTGATTTTCGGTTTGATTCGATTACACCCCTAATTATAAGGCTCATCAAAATGGTGGGCTAGTCGGCCCAGCTCGTCAATTGCTAAAGCCCACGTGGGCTGGGCTAGCACGGCCCCGCCCATATTGACAACTCTAGATATACAATTATTTATAGGAAAATTACCAGCTATGTCCATTTATAGGTAGCTCATTACAAAAATTGGCCAATTGATAAAATATTACTAATATTAGTCAAATTAGCCAATTAGCTATTTGTAGCAAAAAAATATCAAATTTTGCTTTGTTTTGAGTGGGTGTTATTAGAATAGATTGGGCACAACTTAAGGAGCTTGAATATCAGTTTTGGGATGATTTGGTGAAGTTTTGAGGTGGTTTGAATTGAAAATTCGATAAAAACTGAACATGAAAAAAATGATATGTGTATCACACTCTTTATCATTTGTGTATCACAATGTATCATATTTGTGTCTATTGTGTATCACATGTATATCCATGTATACCTGTGTGTGAGATACATGCGTGATACATGTTTGATACATGTGTCGCAGAGGACTTTTTTGAACTCGATTTAATTACGAATTTTGATGCAAAACCAGTCCAAATCACCTCCAATCTTCCTCAAATTTTGTATATTGACTTATCTATATATTTTCAATGAATTTCAACTATACCCATTGAAAAAGTTCCTTTTTTGTTTAGATTTTTGGAATATTGAATATATTTTTTGTAGTTCATCACCTTATTTGCTACCTCATCTATGAAATTTTTTTTCCGTCTATCTAGTGTTGCTGATCACGCTTAAAAATATGGAAGGTGATTTTTGCATGTGATTCTTTGAGAGAAAGAACTCTATTATTTGGTTTTTCAATTTTTATTGGCTAGTTTTGGTAAGTTATGATTAATGGCTAGAGGTTGGTAAGTTGAGATTTATTTGGGATATTTGTGTAAGTTTCCTTATATATATTATCAATAATGGAAATTGTAGGCGACCTGTCATTTTTTTCCGGTGATAGAGTAGTTGAAAATTTTATGAGAATTTTGGAGGTTATTAAGGGGTTGTCGGAGAAAGTATCTGAGATAGTGTTGAGAAACAGACAAACTTATCGGAGCTACTTGTCCCTCTATTTCATCGCCTAATCCTATATAATTATCCTCTATAGCTTACCACCAAAGTATTCAATCAGAAATTGTTGTCAGCTGTCGTAAAAATTTCAGAGGCACTAAACAATTAAATTTGGACCTCCCATTATAAACACCTCGTTCTCCGAAGAAGCATCTTTTCGATGCAACCTAATCGCAAGAATTAGCTAAAAATGAAAGAGAAACTCATTCTTCCTTAATTCATTTTGATCTAGGTTTTCATTTTAAGTTTTAATTTGTTGTTTTGAGATTTCTATTGATCTGCATGTCTGCATCTGAAGTGATTTTTTATATTTTTGTTTTGAGTTTTTAAGCTTGAAATTTGATGTTATTGTGCTACGTATTTTCTCTGTGTTTGAGAAAATGGAAGAATGAAAATAAAATATGCGACTAACTAATATAAAGCTATCTGCTAATTGTTATCCTGGAGTTTACGCTCCGCACGAGTGATTTTATTTTGTGTCTCATACAACTTACACTAGTTGTGTGAGGCCTTTTTTTGTCTCACATATTTGTAGACCCATATCTGGTTCCACAAAATTCTGCGACCATACAGTTGTAAGACAAAAAAAAGTCATCACACGACTAATGTCAGTTGTGTGAGGAACAAAATAAAATTTTTCATCCGCACCTAGAGACAGATAAAACAACTCATCATGTCCCATCACTTTTTAGAACGGGCTGCTCTTATTAATGATGTAAGTATGTAACATTCACACTAGAGGTAAAATAGGGGATTGATTCCCACTTAATACTTTTGTCCTCATTTCTTTAGTGATGCGCCCCTATAATCTAAAAATCCTAGAGGACAACTAAACAGGTTTTGGGGGAGAGATGAAAAAGGAGCCAAAAAAAATAATAAGATGCGTTTAAATTT